CCATCCTGCCAAGCAGACCCTCGGAGCAGCAGCAAGAGCGTGAGCAGCGCTTGCGCAGATGTGGAGGGGAGAGTCTAGGTCAGGGCCAGCGAGGGCTGGGGAGGAGGGAGACGGCCGAACCTGGTGTGGGACGGCCACTCGCCCTCCGCTTGGACAGACGCTGCGCAAGCACAGAAGCACCACTACAGCTTTTCTGACCTGCCACAATTTGGTCAGAGCTGTCACGTAGTCGCCCCAAACAAGCTGCTATGAATCCAGAAAGCACACAAGACAAAGGAAATGCCCAAAATCCCCCCCACCAAAATATCTGGGAAAAACAAATGATCACAGCTAGGAAGACACACAGGTTCACCCAAAGTGCAGCAGGAGGGGGGGAATCTCCGGGGGAGCTGTCAAGGTGCAAGGGAGGAACAAGGAGCGGTGTAAGCCTTTTCCTAGAAAGGTGTGTAGGATATCCAGGCTATGCCTGGAAACAGCCCCTGCTTCACCCCCAAAAAAAAAAATCCACCACCAGCTTTCCAGCCCCAAACACTACCTGCCCTGCATCACCTGTGGGTCTGGGGCACGTTGCACGTGTTCCTCTCTGGCTGTTCTTGATCACGGGTCTTCTCCGACGCCAGCCCCTTCACCACCACGGCCAGGACACGCGCACTGGGAGACAGCCAGCTGGAGGGCCTCCTGCCACAAAGCAAAGGAAGCCACAAGCTCATCTGGGAAGCCTTTTCCCACCCATCCTGCTCAGAAAACTAGCCTGGCGATCTGGGAGCTGACAAGGGCTCTATCAAGCACCACCGAGCCTCCACCATGAGCTCCTGCTGCTCTAAAGGACTGAGGCAACGTGATGGCAGCAGCACTTGGGACATGTGCTAATCCCCCAGCGTGGCGCAACCGCTCCAGAGCACAACCTGGATAATAGGCAGTACAAGACACCCCGCGAGGCCAGCCAGCCCCATGGTGTGCTCTCCGTATGCTGCCTGGGAGAAAAACCCTTCCTCAGCACACGCTGCTTCCCCCACCCTGCCTGCCCAAGCTGGGTCTTACCTGGACCTAGCTGAGATGGTGTCGGGACTGGGAGGGAAGCTCCTGCCAGAGGGGCTGGGGGGTCCAAAACGCCCGCCTCCCCTTCCCAGGACCAGGAGGACTGCCAGCCTCTGGGTCGGAAGGGGCTGCGCGGTTCCTATCCGCACAAGGCTCTGGGGAAGCAGCCAGGAGTTTCTCTCCAGCAGCGGGATCATTTGGCTTGGTGCGTGCTCCAGCTCCAGCAGGCAGGATAAGATCTTCGGGGGAAGAGGTCCCAGAGGTGTCAGCGCTGCTGCTGGGCTTTGGGCTGGAGAGTTCAGGGTCAGCTTTGGTCTGAAGAAGCTGCAGCTCCGTGCCTCTAGGCTCATTCACAGATATGTGGGGTCGCGCAGCCTGGCCGGGGCTGGAATCCCCCGCAGCCGTCCGCAGCTTTGTCCACCAGATGAAGGGGAACTTTTCCTTGCTAGGAGCAGCATAAATCCTGGAGGCCTGGCTCAGCTGGCCCCACCAGCCACCGAGGCCAGCCCTGTGGTCTGAAGAAGCTGCAGCTCCGTGCCTCTAGGCTCATTCACAGATATGTGGGGTCGCGCAGCCTGGCCGGGGCTGGAATCCCCCGCAGCCGTCCGCAGCTTTGTCCACCAGATGAAGGGGAACTTTTCCTTGCTAGGAGCAGCATAAATCCTGGAGGCCTGGCTCAGCTGGCCCCACCAGCCACCGAGGCCAGCCCTGGCACCCCGAGGGCCTGCCTCAGTCTTGTGGGTCTCCGGGGAGCTGTCACCTCCCAGGAAAGCGCGACCGAGCTGGTCGCCCCATCGCAGCACGTGCTGGAAGGTCTGCTGCAGGGCAGCCCCCACCTGGGGACCAGGGACCAGCCCACGCACAGCCGCCTGGGACTGGGACCTTGTGCTGCCCTCTGCACCGGCTGCCCTCCCCAGAGTATCGGGGGGGGTCTCATCTTCCAGGCTTGCCCCTGCAGCACTGCTTTGGCCCTCTGGAGAAGGCTGCACAGCCCCCCGAGCCTGAGCAGCATGGCGAGCAGGAGACAGGGGTGACTCCAGCCGACGGGACAAGGGTCTTACATCCACGGAGAGGTGGTGGTGTTCAAAGAGCAGGTCAAGGTGGAAAGTCAGCACTGAGAGGGGCTGGATGAGCAGCAGCAGTTCATCAGCGAGGTGGGGAAGAGGGCCTTGACTCAGGGCAAAGAAGGCCATGGGTGAATACAGCACGGAGATTACACCTACGAGATACGGACAGCGCTGGACAGCTGCAAAATGCCCTGCCCTTGCCCACACATCCCTCCCAGGGCCAGCTGGTCCATCCTGGCAGGTCCAAATGATGCTCCAAATTGTCTGCTGACTGCCCTCATCCAGTACGACAGCCACGGAAAACAATGCCCTTGTCCACTACAGAAATCCCAGCCAAGCATTGTGGGTGAACGGGTATGGGATTATCACCCTGGCAAGTAGGAGAGGACTTGGGTGGGCAGCTTCTGGGCACTGAGTCCTTACCTGGGCTCTTCTGCAGGTGAGAGATCCACAGCTCCAGTTGCTTAATGCTAAACAAGACAAAGGGAACCCACGTTAGAGCTCCTGGGACTTTGCTCCAACCTGCCATCGCAACAAGGACAGCCTGGGCCGTCAAGGGCCAATACTCACTTCAGAAGGCCGAGGATAAAGGCATGAAACTTCTGTCTGGTGCTGCTGAGAGGGGCCAGCCCAGCCACGTGCCAGCACAGGTTGTGGAGAGAGCGGGTGTTGGGGCCTGTGGAATACAGGACACAGTCACTGCTCCGGGGGCACAACCTCCCGCGGCCCCGGCTGGAAAAGGACTCCAGGTACCTCGAGATGCTGATCCCAACATCTCCAGGAGCATGTTCCTCACACTGACCTGTCTTCACGGAGGCTTCCACGACACTCCAGGGGGAATTCTTCCTCTGGCCTGTGATAACATCCTTCTGGAACGGCTTCAGCCCGTCCTCCACCAAGGCATAGAGCGCAGGGCAGAGGGTGTGCAGCAGCAGGTAACCCACATCTGGGCTGAGCCGGCTGTCTCCCAGCTGGGCCTGAAGCAGGGAGGCACAAGGAGAGGAAAGGGAGGGGAACGGCAGCACCTAACCCTGAGCCTGCAGGGAGGGATGGTGGGATCCTCCCCCTGGAGCCCCCAAAACCCCTCCTGCCCAAAGCCTGCACGGCTGCCCTCACTCCTGCCCACCCCAGCCCGGTCAGAGCCTCAGCCCAGACCCTCACCTTCTGCACCAGGTTCCGCGCGGTGCTGAAGTGGG